CCACTCCTCCGCAGGACTACAGGACTGTCGTCATCCTTCCCGGGCTCAGATCCTCGCTGATAGGACCTCGGGCACATGACTTAACCTTTCTGGGCCTGTCTCCTCCTTTAGAAAATAGTTATAACACCTCATCGGACTGAAGAGTAGATGAGTGACAGGGTAAGTGGCTGGTTTCATGGCAGAATCCGAAACCTACTGTCCAGCTCAAGCTGGCCTCAAACTATAGTTCTCCTGCCTCTGCCTCCCTGAGGTGTGTGAAACCACACCAGTCGCTGTAAAGTGTTTTCAAAGATACATAGCAGGGCTTGGGGGTGGTTCTGGTAAAAGAAAGTGATCGAGAGCCCATGGGTTCAATCGCAGTCCCACATGAAGAAATAGTACCTGGCAAGTACTAATAAATCCATTTATTCCACAGAGAAGACATCTACAAAGAGGATCTGACACGTACCAAGGCATAAAGTGGTTACGCCGCTCTAGAAAGAATAATGCCTGCCCGCCCTAGTAGGTGTCCAACAAATATACGTTGAGTGGTTACTTAACATTTGCTTAACACAGCTCTCCCCAGACTAAACTATTACTGTCCTTATTTTCCAGACGAGGACTTTGAGATCTGGAGGAGAAACCTTACCTGTTCTCTGCCCCTGACTGCTGTCTGAAGGTAGCACTGAAAGACGAAAGATTCATTCACCTGGTCCCTTCCACTCTTCTCCCTCGGCATCCACACACCCTATCCTCCTAACAGAACCCCAGCGAAGAGCTGACCTACCGAGTCTCTCTCTCTCCCTCTCTCTCCCTCTCTCTCTCTCTCTCTCTCTCTCTCTCTCTCTCTCTCTCTCTCTCTCTCTCACACACACACAAACACACACCCTCTGGGGAATAACTTAGCACTCTGATTTGAGTGGCTGCATAAATTAGCATATCAAGTGTTAATACAAATACCCCGTTGTCCAGCAGGGGGTGTTCCACCCACCGGGCTAAGACTCAAGATTTCCTGAACTACACACACCCCCAATCTTAACTCCCTGCCACAAATGTCCCCAAGTCATTCAAGACCTTGACCCACCCCTTCCCCAGCGTAGGTAGGGCATCTGATTCACTTCCTGCCCGGAATTAAAAGAGGGATGCTGGTGCCCCCTCACTCAGCCTCCTCTCCACACCCCAGTGCTGCCCCCCCCATGCACCATGTCATGATATGCCCTTTCCTTCAGCTCAGAGGGTCCCTACCACCATTCTCTCACCTCCATCGCCCACCAGATCCCCAGCACCCTCCGCAACC